CGCCATGCCATGTGGAGCCTTTGAAAATTTGAAGTTGAAATGGGACAGTTTGAGGCTACTTGAGGGGGAAAATTTGAACTCTTTCATTGTATGTTTCTTTGAAAATAAACAACTATTATTGTGAAAAAGGTCTGTTTACTTGGATTTTACAACACCTTCAAAGGCTATTTTAGCTTGCACAAAATTTACAATATGCCAGATACAATGCTCAATACAAATTTCCAGTACTAATAATGTATGTAATAGGAGAAGGATAGTTAGACTAAAATAATTCAATGTTTTTTTGTCAATATCTTTCCTAAATTTCTATTCATACATTGCATATTTCCTTTATAAAATATAAGTACAATCAACAGTACACACAATGTGCAAATCACCCTTTATACACTTACACTGTTACTAGTAGCTTCAGATAACAACATTGGGTTTGCCACAAGCTCAAACCTTTCACATGGCAAACATTGCAACACATTCATCCAAGCTGCTACAAACTCAGGTCTCATGTTTCACTTCAGAGCCTGTTCTATAGTATGCAGATGAAGGAGGCTTACTTGTAGTCTTTGGGCAAGTTCTCAATGAACTATGTTTACTCCATTCACACTTGTACTACTAGAGCTAAATTTTCATGTTTGTGGGAAGATTTTGGAATTTTCATGAGAGTAACATAGTTTGTAATGCTAGAATACATTGTTATGTGGTGTTGTTTTTGTATTTTTACTGGAAAAAGATAATTTTGAAAAAGACCTAGGCTTCAATCTGAAATTGATATGAGGCGCTAGCTTGTTACATGGATTCATACCCTATGTTATGACAGCCCTATGTTACGACAGCCATATGTTACGACAGCCCTATGTTACGACAGCCCTATGTTACGACAGCCCTATGTTACGACAGCTATTGTTATTGTTATATGCTGACGAACAATTGATGTCGGCGCCTTTCGCATACGTTAATCTCATTAAAGCCCGTTTTTCAAGTTTCCATCCGGTAAAATGTATCCACAAATATTTCTCCTCGAACAAAATCATTTCGGATTTGAAAATTCTCTTTTGGGAGTTACGTTTTTGATGGTCTTGTAGCGGGCGGGTTGCATGAAAATCCGAGCCGCAGTTCGCTATCCACGCCGCGGTTCGCTAACCACTTCCGGGCTTGCTTGAATACGCGAAAGGCACCACTCAATATGGATACATACCATTTTTCCCCAAAAATTCTTAATAATGAATTTCTTTAATGGAATGTTAGTGGTAGAAACACCGTAGAAAGTAGCGTAGTGTAACTCTCTTCGCCAACAAACAAACTGCAGCTCTGCAAAGATGGCTCTATCCAATCAGAGCGCAGGTCATATGAGGTCAACGAATCAGAGCGTAGAGTTCACGCTGCTACTTACATATTAGCATTATATTAATGAGAAAATGCGTGTATTTTCTTCTACGGCGAGGTAGCGAATGTGTGCTGCAAGTTATTTTCCAGCGATTTTCTGACTTTTAACGCCGATTTTTCGCACGCTACGATCACGCTACCATTTGACACTGTACTGGAGACAAGAGATCATTTTACAACCAAGGAGCACTTTTGTTGAATAAAACAGCAATGAAAGCTACGATACGGCCAAGTTATTTTCAAAATTTGTCTCGTGTATGAGAGATAAGATGACGCTTCTTTACAGCGGAAATGTTGCTAGTACGGAAGAAGTACGGACGAAGCAAGGCTCTTCACTATTAAAATCCGGCTATCGCAGGCGCTACTGGAGGTTACAATTAAATGATGCCGATGTTCGGAGTCTTGCAGCAGAATGTCCTAATTAAGTATTACTGGCGATACGTTTGCCATTTGTAGCAGTGTTTTTTTTAATGTCAACACTTGTAAAAAAATGTGGAATGCTTGTGGACAGTTTCAACTTGTTAACAAGTGTAAACAAATGCCCCGCCCCCTCAGTTAATTTTCGCGACGTGTTCCCTTAGTTAATTAATTTTCGCGACCCGGCCCTTCCCAACTGGACGGCCTCTCAGGATCTCTGCTGCAGTCTGGCGGAAACGCTGTCAGTGACAATTTATTACGTGAACATTTTCTTCGAGATCATTACACTCCATACATTTACAATTTATCATTTGGTGTCTGAACATAGCCATAATCGCGTTGAAAAAAGGGGGCGTCAAAACATAGGGCTGTCGTAATATAGGGCTGTCGTAACATAGGGCTGTCGTAACATAGGGCTGTCGTAACATAGGGCTGTCGTAACATAGGGCCGACCCCGTTACATGAGGGCGCAGCGCCCTTGTTCCCCTGTTTAGAAAAACCCCTGAAATTGTGTACAATGTTCCAGGAGCAGCTCCAGTAAAGGTGTGATACTGCCACCTGTGCTACTGGACCTGACAAGGGACGGTGTCAGGGACATTGTAGTCTCTGTGTTTGACTCTACAGTCGCAGTCCTCGATGGAGAGACTCTGGAGGAAGTTTGGACGAAGTCATTTCCTGGCACTGAAAGCTACAGGTAACATCAATGTTCATTCATTTATTCTTGTATTGCACTTCCTTCATTCCTCGATACGTGCAGTCCTTCACTCACTCACTCATTCATTTGTTGTAAGGTGATTAGGTTTTTATGTTTCTGTCGTTGGGAAAAATACTGTCTGGAGTGCATGGTGTTCATACCCGCAGCCAGGATGTTGTTCAGGGGAGGGGGTTAACTATAATTGTTTTTTTTTTAGATTCTTTTGACAAGTGAGCACTAGAGGGGTCAGCTGTCTAGGGGGTCTTGGGGCCTTCTGAAATGGCATTTTCTGCATTTTTTAGAGGATTTCAAAGCAAGAATGGGGGACAGTTTCAGACAGTATTGATTATTTCAGAACCACCTCATTTAACACCTCATATGTTGCCTCTCAGTCAAAAACGATTTTCATTTTATTCCTGTTTGTAAATTTTTGCCCAGTCTTCTTGCGCCAGGATTCTTCAACAATGACAGCACACTTGACATTATGGTGAGGCTGAACAAAGGGGGGTGGCCCAAGTACAACTCAAGTCAGGTGAGTGTAACTGTAAGTTATTAAGTACTAACACTGTTTCTCACGATAGACGAGATTTGTGCTATACTTTTTTTCTCTGTAGTAAGTTGAAATCATTTTGCAATGGTTGATATAACTTCTGTTCCATTTTTTTGTTTAAATCCTTTTATAGCTTTTTTCAATTACCTTTTCAGTTACTTTTTAACCTTCAGCCTGCTAAGGTAGCTGTTTGGCACCAAATCTGTAAAGATTACCTGGTTGAGCAGCAGGGACAAGCTAAGGTTAACCTACTGGTAGCTTCATGCCAATCCAGCCATCTTGGCAAAGGTAGCTGCAAACAGATTTGAACAATTTCCTAGAAGTGCTTGATAATGGAAAAGTACAGACATGACCTGTTACTAACATTTTTGCTGGCAGACTGGAGCACAATTGTTGAGCCTGAAGACATAACACACTTCAGTTTACTGCCTCTAGTCATGGGGGGTCACAGGCACCCCACAGTGGGCACAATCTTGTTCAAACTTGTACTTGTAAAACCTGGGGGGAAACTGTGCCCTTCAGCAGAAATGACTGCCAAATGTGGAGTCAAAGACCGCAGTCGTGCTGTGTTCAGCTTCAAGGTCGTGTGAAAGTTGACACCCTGATGGGGTGTCTCGACCTTCACCCCTATGGGGAGAATACTGATTATTCGTTCCCTCTTAATAGCCAAGTGGGTCTGCCAAACACAACATGTTCTAGACGAGGATTGTCAGCAAAAGCATCCACTTCAATTCACCTTTGATGATAACAGGCATTGTCTATTTCAACGTGTGCGATTTCTTAAAAGCTTGTGAAAAACAGTGACTTACTGGTACAAAGGAGCTATGTGCATTGCAAGCAGTATTCCAAAGGAAAGTTCCAAATGTAAAGACAGAAGAAAATAAACAAATTCATGTGGAGATGCTATTTGGGAGGTATTACTTTATGATCAGTTTTACCTAGTGTCTATGGTTTGATTGTGTACAGTGTAAAAACAACCTTTGGATAGACAAATCTATTTTCCCAAGTCAGATGAACTTTCATGCTGATGTGTTTTTTTCTCTATTGTGTTGTAGATGTTGATCCTGGATGGTCGGACGGGGACTGAACTGTGGTCCTTCCCGACACACGGAGCGACCTTCTCCTCACCCCTGACTCTCCGCACGGAGGACCCAGGGAGGGACGCGTTCCTGTTCTGGGTGTTAGGGCGGGAGGGCCCCGCCGCTCAGTCAGTACAACATCCAGGAGGAGGTTCACATGTATGTACCATCCTTATCAATCTCTGCTTGTGAAAACGAAAAATAGACTACATAACAAAAGTAACATTTGCTAAGCAAATGCATGCTGTTTACCTTCATATGGTCTATTTTAACAAATTAATGCTCTGTTTATTCTTACTCAAACACATTCACATATCCTAGTATGGTGAGCAGCCCCTCAGACTCTGTTCTGTTACAAAATGCAACCCAACACTGCTACTGTACTTGTTGCCATGGTGACAGACGTCTGGTCCAGGTCATTGACTTTATTTGTTTGAAGAAGAAACTGTGCAAAAACAACATGTTTTCCTTCTCCGAAGGTAAACTTAAAAAGCAATACCCAAAACATGATTGTTAAAAATTTAAGCATGGAAAATTCTCACTTTGAAAATGGGAAGCACAAAATGTGTAGTGTGATGTCCACCCACACAAACTCGTCTCCGGCTTACAACAGGTGCGACGGCGTCGGCATGGAGGTCATGAGGAAGAAGGCCACGCCCCCTCGTGTGATGCCATGAACATGCCGTCTCAGGAGCTGTTCCTGGTGGACAGAGACTTCGCACGGACGCCCATCAGACTTGTCGAGCTTGAGTCAATCCCGTATTATTACAGTTAGTACATTTCTCAAAAGCGTCCCGCACACCTGTCAATGGAAATGCATAAAAAATTATGTAAAAATCTCAACTTCAGACTGACTTTTTTGTCATCAAATATTATATGATGTAGACCTTTTGACAGTTCGTTAGGTAGTCCTTGTTGTTACGGAATTTTCCAATTGTAATCTCTACGGTTTCTATGATGTTTCATCTCTTTCCAGTAATGTATGATTGTATAGCATACTGCAGCATGCTATAAACTATGGCTGTGTTGCAGACTACACAGAAGAGGACTATAGAAAACAGAAGCTTGAGGAGGAACAGCGCTTTGGGCCCTCCCCCGACTTCGAGGATGTCCCACTAGAAACCGAGGAGGACTCCACAGAGATGGACCTGACTGAGGAGCTGATCGCAGTGACGGATGCAGCTTCCTTGACGGGAAGAAGAACGGCCTTCCCCGCAAACTCTCCGGATGGACCTACGGACAGCAGCAGAAGGCAGCGGCAGAGAAGGCAGGATGACTTAACGTTTCCTGTTCTTCTATGCACACCTATGAGTCCTAATGACAGAACCACAGGTAGGCCATTCTACCTCACACTACAATCTGTTGCCTTGTTTGTCTGTCATGGCAAGACAACAAGAGTGTCACTGAAATCTTCAAGTGAACGTTTTACGTAAGAGTAGTCAATTCATATATAGTATCACACATAAAACAAGTATTCTAGCTTTTCTGTTCCTATAATGATGTTTTCTTGAAGAGACTTTGATGCAGGACTGTCCATTTCTGCAGGTGCCGTGGGTGACGTAGACGGGGACGGTACATTAGACTACGTGTTCATCGAGGGCAGACTTGCCTTTTTAAAGGACCCAGGCGGATCATTCCTACGGATGGACTATCTCATGTCCATCAACAAAATCAACCTGAATGTTAGTCTGGCAGAGGCTCATCTTGTCAACATACAGACAGGACAAACTCCCCCGGGATACCAGAATGGGACGCACCTTCTCAGTCGAAATCCGATGGGACATTTCCATTTTGTACCACTGCATCAACAGCGGTGGGCGGGCTACATGGGGCAGCGTGGCGACGGCAAGGTGTAGAGCTTCTCATATGCGTTGAAAGAGCAAAAATTCCCTGCAGCTTGAAGCTTCAGACAGGTGAGGGGTCAGGCGGACTCCACGTGTTCAGTTGGTCCTGATTGAAGCAGAGAAAACAGGTGCAGGCGGATCGCCAAGTCTGGAGGCAAGAATTAGAAAAGGAAAGATTTTAATGTCGGAGTACAACGTAAATCCGCAGTCACATGTTCGTTGATGATTGTTCTGCGATTGCAAACTGAAAGCGTTCTTGGGATAAACGTGCATACTTGATGCGAAAGTTAGCTGTCTTCTGATAGAAAAGGCTATCTTTGATCCTTTTTGATGGCTGGCTTTGTCACAGCCTGCTTGAAAAGGCTACATCAAAATCGCATGACGACCGACGAAGAATGTGACCACACTGTAAGTTTGCTGCGATTTAATATCACTTCAGTACAGAGTAACTACACCTAGCATGACTGTGTTGTGCAGGTGTATCTGAACGTAGTCAAAAGTCAAAGAAAATGAGACATATTAAGTAAAGAACGTTTTTGGGACTGTAAATGATTTTCATGGAGGGTAATCTGTAAATACTGAGTGTAAGGCAGTTGTTTCTCACAATGTAAAATGTAAAGGTCTATGTATGTCTTTCTAAGATGGGCAGTGTACATTGCAGATGTAACAAGTGATCAAGAGGGTATGGAAAATGTAGTATTTATTGTGTTAGCCAGGGATTGTGCCAATAGTTCCAACTTTGTGATTAAGCGTCTTGCACTGAATGGTGCTTTGGGGACGTTTGTATGGTACTTAACTTTAAATATTGGTACATATACATATACAGTGAACATGTTCTTTGGAACTGTGTATACATTGTGCAATGAATAACTTGCAGTCAACCTTCTGCAGTACTATATAACCAAACAATGGTTTCTCACACCATTATTTGTATTGTTCATTGAATCAGAGTGAAGTAGGACTTTGTTGCAGTTTTTGGTCTCCCTGGCTCTGGTAGTCTCGCAAGACTATGCAGTTGTTGGTACATAAAAGCATAATGGATATTATATATATATATAACCGTCTTACCTTGCTAGCTGTTGCAAAATGCTAAACAGAACCCGTTTTTATAGAATCTGATATAAAAATATATACAGGGTACAGATTTGCAGTTGGCTGCAGCATTGTTTTTATCATTTTGAAATTTGTGCAGAAACGGTTTTAATGGAAGTTGAACTGCACAACTTCATCAACCAAAAGTTGGCATGAGTTACCAGTACAGTCTTAAATATCCTCATACTCCAACTGTTTTTGCCAATCTATATGTTATGAGCCAAAAGTATTGACCAAAGTCAGTATTGATATTTTTTTACTTAAAGCCTTAAGCTTCAACATATGCTGCTCTGTGATTGTAACAATTACTGGATTACAACATTGTGCCTCATGCCAACAACCTACTGTCATTGTAAACTCGGGAAAAAGTGCAGTGTTAGGAAGAGTTAGTCCCTTTCCTATTGAACTTGTATCTATCATACTTAATCTGTTCTTGGTGCATGTAGCGTTACATAATTCTGTGGGATGGAAACATTGAATCCAAGTGTCAAGTAACCTGCAGTTCAACTGATTCTGACAGGTGGAGCTTTTAGATGTATATGATGGTACTTTAATATCAACCTACAATCATGGTATTGTTTACCTTGCCAAGTTGCCATAATATTTACTACAGATTATGAACGATTTGTCCTTGGATTGTACAAAATCATGGGATTTGATTGAGCTTGGAGCTGATTTATTGTGAAAACATTATTGTAAAAATGGTATACTGTCTTGACAGTCGCTATATTGTCCATGAAGATATTTATTGATGCCTTGTTTGTATACTTTAGTATGTCGGGCAGGTTTTGTACTGACGAAAGTCTTAAACAGTTGTATATAATCTTTGAAAGATACTTGACAATCGAAGATATTGTATAATGCAGTATATTAAGTGCAAGGTTTGTGGTTGTGTGATGGTGTATAAATTTAAAGTTTGTTCAGCCACGAATGTGTATATGGTATCTGTGTGTGATATTAAATACATTTTATTTGTAACACTCCCTGTGTCTTCTCTTGACATCTTCAGGAAAACACTAATCATGAGTACTACATGAATATATTGTTGACATATTACTGAAAGATAACCGTATCGAACATTATCGTGGCCCAGGTATAAGGAGCCAACTGTAGCATTTGCCCATAATCTATATAAATGATGCCCTGATTCGCATAGGAACTATTAAACAAGGTTTTTAAACTTCCAAATACTCCGCCGTAGGTCACTGACCTCTTTCACGGAGTAAATACTAAAAGAAAGAAAACCTCCCCATAATTTGCTACTTATGGCATCTTCCATCTGATGACGTCTGCTGTCTCGCGAGATTCCATTACAGACCACGGGAACAAACGAGACTTGTCTTCTCCGACGGGAAGCCATTTTCTGGGAGAGAGAGACGAAAAGTACAAAGTCTTGCAGAAATTTTCGCTTCAATTATCGGCCCGTTGGCACAAAAAGAGCCAAAATGTCGGCCCAAGAGCAAATGCGAGCTATGCTTGACCAGCTTATGGGCACAACGAGGGATGGTGAGTCGCGATTTCTTTATTTTACTTCACTTTTCCCTTCGGGTATGGTAGGACGGGTCTAGCCTAGGTCAACGAAACTGTTCAGCTAGATAGCCTAGTTTTTCGAGGTTCGAAATTCACAAAATTTGACCCAAGGGCAAGGAAATAACCCATTAGTTTCCACAGTTTTGTATCAGGATAACGCCTAGTCCCAACTCACGTTACTATAAGGTATTAAAAGAAGTAGATTTTGATAGAAAACCGTTCGAAATCTATTACGTCCCGAGCGTGGCAAAAATGGCGGCAAAGAAAGAAAACGTGCAGACAAAGAGCAGGCGTTCCGCTCTGTTTGTCCTGTCGCAAATCACCGTAGACTCAAATAATCAGCAGTTGGAAGAAAACCTTGATAACAACGCGTATCAAAATACGTTCAGGTCTAAAATCATACTAGCCTCTTACTTTCCTGTATTTTTTTCAGTTTCACTTACATAATTTATTCATACACAGTTATTTTGCAAGGGTCGCAAAAGGCCAGCTTGCATATCAAATTAAGTGGTGCACAAAAGTGTTTCGTACATCTCTGTTGATGATTTGAATTTTTCGATACACTAAAATTCAATTTGAGCCCAGAGATTTCCCGTCAATTATGTCAGTATTCTAAAACTCTGGCTTAGATTACATATGGAATTTAGATAATTAAGATTACGTCTGTAGGAACCAGGCCAGTTTAGGCGTGGGAAGGAAGAAGACCGTTGATGTCACTCAATGTGTGATCTGCATACAAATTAGATACGATGACAATTGTTCTCATGAAAATGAACTGTAATTCTGCTGAAACAAAATTTACACATAACAGATTGATTAGAAATGTAAAAATTTGTAAGTCAAGCCTGGGACATTTAAATTTTAAACAAATTTGTTCATTTTGCAGCTTATAATTTATGGTTTTGAATAATTAAAATATGTATGTCACTGTATCGTTTACACAAGTTCTGTAAAAAAAGTGTGAAGTGGTTTCAGACTGATTCAGTATCTTGTAACTTATCTACTACTGAGTATGTAAGCCTCAGCGACCTGAGTGCAATGTGGTCACTTCTGTTTTATTCACACAACCTTCAGAGTGATGTCTGAAAACTTTTGGGTGGAGAAACTAAAGATTATAAAACAACTGTAAAGCTTATAATAACATTTCAAACATATTATTTATTTATCTGAAATCTACCTGACCTGAAGTGTATAAAACAAAGTGGCAGACATTTGCTCTCCGGTCTTGATGCCCATAGGAAAATGACACATGCACAAAACTGGTATCTGTGATATCCATGTTGGTTGGAGTGTGCTCCTTCATTTTTAACAAGAGTCGTCGTTTGACGTCTGTAGGGTTCTGGTTCGTCAGTACAACTTGTTTATATTTGTGTATAGACACACACACACACACACACTGTCACATAAGTACAGTATTACTTGACACTCCTGTCTTCTACATTGTGTTTCCTTTATCTAAGACATCTATTTGGCCATTGTTCCTACAAGGGATCTATGTGTATGTATGCCTGCCTTCAGCAAGGGAATTAAGAAAGCGTGATGCTCGCCGAGCCGTGAGTTACCACATATATACGTCCTAGCTTTTCACCATGTGTTTAAATGAACATGTCTGCAAGTTGTGCTGTTGCAGTTGTTAGTCTTTCTTTAATAT